TTAGTTTGTTGATGAATGTTGGCCTTCCTGATGGCGGGATTGAATGCTGGTCTCCCTGTTGGGCGGGATGAGAGCTTGGTCTCTATGTTGGGAGAGCTGAAATGCTGACCTCCTTGTTGGGCGTGATGGAAAGCTGGACTCCTGTTGGGCGTGATGAAAATACTGGTCTCCCTGTTGGCGAGATGAGAGCTTGGTCTCCATGTTGGGAGAACTGACCATGTGAGTGCATTGAACACTTGGCATGCAAGTGTTGGTTGGATAGCTCCATGGTTTGTTGACTGAGTATTGGCCTTCCTGTTGAGAGGGCAGAAGGAGCTAGGTCCATCCAATAGCATTTTCACCTAGTAATGTCGCTCGGCATCTTCTTGCACTTGTATTTAATATACATGCACCACGAATTTAAAACTTGGAATTCACGTGCTCCCAGTAAGTAAAGTACCTTTAGGCGATGCCTTTAATGGCTTGATATCACAGTATATAAAAGGGATTGTCTTTTCTCATGTTGCATAGGAGAAGAGCTATTTCCTACACACACATAGAGAGGAGAGAGAAGAGAGAATAAGGAAGAGAAAAAAAATTTAAAATGGGTCCCACGTTTACTTTGTGTCTTATGCATAAGATAACAATTAACATAAGATTATTATTTCCTTATATAAAATATTGGTTTAATTGTTAGCATTTGTGCTTTAATGCTTGGAGCATTACACGTAACATTTATATAATATGCTTGGTTGTTTTACGTATATATATATTTTGTATGGGAAAACATCATCTTCTGTTGCAGAAAAATATGTTACACTTCTTGCACACAGATCGAAACTTGTGACATTTAATTTTGTTTTTTGTTTTTTGAAAAAAAATGATGGAGCCCATATATTATGTATCTACATGAATGATTGGTTATCATCTGTGACGGAGGAAAACTAATGCCCATTTTGTATATATATATATATTTTGAAGTTTATTAGCTTGTATGCACGGTTTACAACACGCACATCTTGAAGCTTTTTAACAGGATTTCAAAACTTGGAATTAGCTTCTAGGCCAAAAGGTGGCGGACCCCACAACATTTAATGGAGAAAGAGAAAGCCTTATATTGATAAGGAAGGCTAAATGTTCTGCACAAGGCATTGAGAAAGCCTCGCCTTTCTGTCAACGGATTTAAAAGGTGGACCCCATGAGGAAGTGGTTGCAGCATTGAAATGTCTATCTAGTCTTGCCAGCTTTGAAATATATATATAAAGAAAAGTATCAATTAAATATATGAACTTATCTGTTGGGACCGGCTACGATTATTCCTCCTTTTGAAATGACGCTCGCCAAAGTTCAAAGGTGAGCTTGCACTGACCGAGCCCATCGACGGTGGGGCTTTTCCTTGGGCGGTGGGATATTGGGTGCTGATTGGTAATGGCGGTGAACAGGCGACCTGAGAGGTGGGCGCATACATGAGTATCCGACAGGTAGGGACCGAGTTATTTTTCTCGTAGTGGATCTTCTCTTGACGGTGACTGCTTCTGCTCGGTTTGAAGGCGTCGATTCTGATTTGCTTAGTTTAATGTTCATCTTCCACTTTGGTAGGGACGAAGGCTACTTACGGTGGGCGGTTGGTCTCTCTGACTGATGACCGGTTTAGATGTGGGACCGGAATAGTCCGCTGAATGGATTTACTCAGGCTCGGGCCGTTCGGGTTTGGGATCGGAAGATCGGGCGATTTCGCTATCTGATGATGCTAGCTCGGTGCTGCATGTGGTTCATTTAGTTTTGAACTTCTTGTCTGGCGTTCGGAGTTTCCAGACCTGGGCGATGGGTTTTTTCCTTCTTCAGGGCGGTCTATTTGGGTTTGTTTGTGACATGGGTGAGGCCAAGGGCGGCCGTATTCTGGGCGACCAGGTTCTAGGCGATAGATTTCTCATTCTGGTTGGTCATGGTTCTGATCCCGATCAGTTTGGTTGGGCGAGCTGCTTACTGGTCGGTGGGTCGATGAGGATAAGCAGGTTGATCGTCAGTCATGGCTATTTCTTTGATAAGGTTGCTGATAGGAAACCCACTGACTTGTGAAGGGTTTATGGATGAAGCTTGTCAGGATCGGTGACGGGTAAGGGATGACTAGTAAAGTATGACCGATTTGTGGATGCTTTCTTTTCCACCTTCATACTGTTGACAAAATCGGTGTCAAGCACGTGTACGAGATGAGTAAATGAATGAGATGTTCTTAATATTTCTAAGACCAGGATCTGGGTTTTTCATTTGGAAGTTTGAATAAACTGGGAGAAAAGAGGGTTTCGTGCTTTCTCAGAGCTTCCGGTAGAAGAATGGGAATCAAAATTTATGGTTTCCCAGCGCCAATGTACTCGTAGTGGTACATAGACGTCTCCCGTGATATAGGGGTGGTCCATAGTGGCAATGATAGAGACCAAGCACTAGTGGAGCTTCCCATGGTGCATAAAGGGGGGGGTGTGTGTGTGTGTGGAAGTGGCTAAGGTGGCTCTCCATAGTCACAGCTATAGTGGCTGGGGGGGGGGGGGTGTGTGTGTGGAAGTGGCTAAGGTGGCTCTCTATAGTCACAGCTATAGTGGCTGAGTGGAGAAGAAGAAGTCCTTCCCTCAATGTGAGAGGGGGTATATAGAGCACGAGCCCTAGTCAACCTAGCCAGCCTAGCCTTTTCAGGCTAGGCATGCTGAACCCCTGCCCTTGTGCAGGGGCTGGTGTGCATGGGGAAGAGGGGGAACCCTAAGTTGCCTTCTAGAAGAGGGCTTTTTAGACTGGGCCTAACGGTAGGGTCCATGTGAGTGGGCTATCCAGAACACGTAGGTTGCTAGGGCCAGGGGAAATGGATTCTTTGGTTGCTATCAATTTCGAATAGTTCCTTTTCTTTTTTCTTAATTATCATTACCAAGCCTGTCATAAACAAATCAACCTTTATTCTTTGCTCATTCTCGCTACTAACCCTCTCAACTTGGTTAAGGGCATCTCTTCTAATCTTGCCTCTTATTCGCGTGCCTTGCTAATTCTGTGAAAATACCGGATCAGATTTATGAGAATTGGATCCTCTTCCTCTCTCATTCTTTCTTTGAAGGGCCTTATGACCTTTTGGCTAACCCTGGTCATCATTAGTTCAACTTAAATGAGATACAAGAGAATTCATTCTCTTCGCTTTTTCTAACTAGATTTGGCACGATGCGGTTGGTGCTAGTTTAGCTCGTGTATTTCGTAAGTTTGTTTTGTTTTCTTGGGGATTTTGCTCCGTTTAGTATTAAAAAAATGTCAACTAGCTAGCAGCCAAGAAACAAATTAGCATTGCAAATTTTGCTGACAGAAAAATGTGAAGACACTAGCTCAAACTTAATGGAAAAGGTCAACAAAGTTTCTTAAGATACTAAAATACTATTTACAACACTCGTGACTTGAAACAGACGGGGAAAACAAAGATTTCGACACACGACAACCCGGTCCCAGCTTATGCAGTTGAAGCATTCCTGAAGAAATTATGGGACAGTTCATGATCTTTTTTTTTTTATTCGAAACTATGTAGTCTAGATTGTAAACACCTCAAATTAATATTTTTATTATATGGTTAAATTCCTATTATGACCTCCCACAATAGGATCGGTATTAATGGAGGCCTGGAGCGTGAGAGATTTGACACTCAAATCTTGAACTTGACAAAATAAAAGCCCTTCTTCCATAAAATTATGGTAGCCTTGAGTTTTATACCTACTTCATTAAAATATGCTTGGTCAAATCCAGTTACAATTTTTTTTTTTTCATCCATGATATTCTATGGTGTCCATGTGTCACATAACAACATCAAGCTCGAAGAATGATTTTGATTACATCAACTTATGCCTCGCGTGGTAAAACATCATCAAGATTCAAGTGCACTAAACAAATTGAACGGGAAAAAAAAGGTTGCTGGAATAACCAGTTACGGCAGTTACGGCAGAGTCTAACTTGTAGTATTGCCGAGTGTGATCCCATAGAAGATGCTCCCATCCTCGTAATTCACAGGCAGGTATTTATAGCCAGCAATGAATTGTAAACATCGAACTGTAACTTCCACGGTAACATCCTTTGACTCAATCAATTCAGGGATAACAAATTTTGACTATACTATACAGATTATATTATAAGGGTTTAATGTTTGTAAATTTAAGCTACATAAGTTATTTACATTCGATCTTACGTTGTTTTGAATTGAAAAATTTAAAAATTATAATAAAAAAGAGTATTATAATCTTAAAATAAATTATAATTAAAAAAATATCTTGATTTTCGTCTTAAAATGATGTCATTTTAAGCTCAATATAAATAAGTTATCTACATTGAACATACAAAAAGCTAACCCATATTATAATAATCCTTAATGTTTGTTACTTAATTTTGACACCTATTTCTAAACAGATAAGAAAAAGGGTCACAGATTATATCAATCTCGGCGATTAAAAATGTTTCTCTTTCTTGAAACAATCATCAACCGATGACAAGGGCAAGAGGTGCACTTTAAACTTGTTCTATGTATTCTTCCTTCACCAGGGAAGTGTCAAGATCACAACTATGGCTTCTTTTACTCAGCTTCTTTTTCTTCCTCTTCTTCTCCCTTTTCTGGCAACTTCATTTGTTAGAGTTTTTTCCTTTAAAGTTTCAGTTAAAACAACTAATTTGGCTCCTTTAAATTGCTCTGCAAAGATCAGAACATGTAATGCCTTACTCTACCACATAAACCAAAATAATCTCAATATTGAAGAAATAGCCTCTTATTATTCTGTTATTTCTTCTCATATCAAACCTATAATGTATGGTACCAAACAAGATTACCTTATAACAACAGTACCTTGTTCTTGCAAAAACACCAATGACCTTAGTGGATATTTTTATGATACAACCTATAAAGTGAGACCAAATGACACTTTTTTTAACATTTCAAACCTGATTTACAGTGGACAAGCCTGGCCAGTTAATAGTGTATTGTTTCCAAATGACAATTTAACTATACATATTCCATGTGGGTGTTCAGAAAGTGGTTCTCAAATAGTTGTCACTTATACAGTTCAGCAGAATGATACACCAACATCTATTGCTAATTTGCTAAATGCTACACTGGATGGCATCCTGAGCTTGAACAAAGTTCTAATTAAGAACGCTGCATACATAGATGTCGGTTGGGTGTTATTTGTTCCCATGGAATTGAAAGGGCTTGCACCTTCCAACAAAGAAGGTGAGTTCTCTTTCTTAACCTCTCCATGATTCCATTATGCATCACTTTTACTTATTTTCTTCAGTAAATTGTATGCAAATTTAGTGTCAGAAATGATCACTTAGCTATATGCTGCTGTTTGTAAGAAAATAGAAATTACTTCATGATGATTCATAACTCAAAAATGGCAATATGATTGCATTGATTCAGCAATTTTGAACTTTGATCAACAGCAGTTAAGGTATATTTATGTTAGCAACCTCTACAATCATTTAGAGGTTTAATACCATTAATCATTACATTAGGGAAACACCACTTTAGATCGGCTCTTCTATTTTAATACCACCAGCACTCCAAAGCTACCATAATTTTGCATTTTTTGTGCCCCTCAACCCCTCTTCTTTGTTGAACCTTCAAAATGGTTGCTGAATGTAAATAACTATTTCCACTTCATCTGATAATGCTTCTATTAAGATATATAAAACCATTAATATAGCCTCACCCAACAGCCTAAGCTTTTGGATTGAATTGGTTCTTTTCAGCTTCTCATGGTTTAAACTCGATCCTAGAAAGTGGTTTAAGTGGGTAAATGGACTTTTATGTTTCACCAAATGATGTTAGCTACTGACCAGGTGAAGTTTGGCAAGATAGTTTGCATTGAAATAAATTAAACTAGGGTTTTATAAGAGTTATATTGTAGGAAAAGTGATTGTGTTATGTTATAGAGATTCGTTTTGCGTGCCGAAGTTTTTTTTTTGCTGCGGGCCCCACAAAATGTTGTGTGTATAGGAAATTTTTTGTGATCATGTTAAATAATAGATGATAAACCCATTAAACTAATGCATTTGTGTTTAAAGTCACTTTTTGATGTCAATTTCTCTTTCTTTGGTTTTTCCCTTGTTGACAGAAAAGAAACATAAATGGACGACAACAATCATTGCCATCTTAGCGGGCGTGATATTACTCTCAATTATATTTATTACAGTGATCGTTCTCAATCTCAGGAGAAATAAAGCCTATCAATTCAGCAAAGAAGATCCACTTGTTGTCTCTAGAAGATCTATTGCCAGTAAACTTATTTCCTCAAAGAACCTTAACCTTCATAAGGAATATATGTTAGGTAATTTAAGATGCAATTTTGGTAACATAAGCAACTTATGATTTAAACAAAATTTTTAATGATAGTATCTATTAGAAGACTAAAGAGGTCGAGCCTAGAGCAGTGATAAAACTGCTCCTTTGTGACTGAAAGGTTACAGATTCAAATATGTGAAACGGCCTCTTTGCAAATATGCAAGGGTAAGACTGCATACAAAGAGAAAGATCATTGCTTATTCATGGTAAATATTTGTGCAGATGTTATGCCACTAGAATCAGAAGGACCTGTAATATATAACCTTGAGGAGATCGAAGAGGCTACAAATTACTTTGACGAAACTCAAAGAATTGGAAGTGGTGGATTTGGGAGTGTGTATTTTGGAATGTTAGGGAAGAAGGTATGAAAACCCCACCTAGATTCTTTAATGGTTCTCAATAATGCAAGAACACCCTTTTAATGTGCTAAGTAAAAACTTGGAGAATATTTAACACTACAGGAGGTTGCTGTGAAGAAGATGAGATCTAATAAATCTAAAGAGTTCTATGCAGAACTCAAGGTCTTGTGTAAGATCCATCATGTCAACATTGTAAGTAATAACTGACCAAGTGTTCTTTGACATAGTTTTAAAGATCTGATGCTTGAATATATCAGAGATATAATTCAATGTCACAGGTGGAGCTGTTGGGATATGCCAGCGGAGAAGATCACCTCTATTTGGTGTATGAGTATGTTCCAAATGGATCTCTCACTGATCATCTTCATAATCCATTACTGAAAGGTATAGTGGATCTAAGATCTCTTTGCCTGGCAAAAGTAAACGTAAGGGACTTGTTTGGAAGAAGTCATAGATTAGAAGAATTGATAAGGTGAATAAATAGTAACACCACAAAGGTCACAGATAATAGGGATGATTTTGAGATCTTTTCCCTTTATTATGGTGATTTCAGCATCATATAAAGATGATCTTTTACTCTTAATATATAAAAAATGAAAACTAGCACAAAAATTAGGAAGGATATTTATATTAAACAGAACTACCATCAAATCAATGTTCATACGATTCAAAAATGCTCAGTTAACTTATCACAGATATAAAACCAATCACGAAGCATCAACTAACAGCTTATTTTAGGAGACTCTTTATGATTAAATGGTCATTAAGAGAGTTGGTTCTCCACAAGTTCACTATATTCTTGTTTGTTCAGAGAAAAGTTTGATATATATCTAAAAATCTAAAGCATGGTACTGGAGCAGGCCACCAGCCTCTTTCTTGGAGTACTAGGGTTCAGATTGCACTGGATGCTGCAAAAGGTCTTGAATATATACATGATTATACAAAAGCACAATATGTGCACCGTGATATAAAGACTAGCAATATTCTTCTTGATGAGAAGCTCAGAGCAAAGGTACTTATGACTTCAGACCCTTTACACCTTTTGTTTATTCCAATTGATTCATCGGAAACTAACTAGTCTGGTTTGAGCACCGTCGAATCTATATACAGGTGGCTCTTCAGCAACCACAGAGCAGAATTCGAAACCTCTTCCTTTCTAGTTGTACCAATAGTTTTTGATTGAGATCTTTTACTCAGTACTAACTAAATGCCTCTGTTTTAATTCTTTCTCTAAGGAAAAATTGTGGAGAAGTAACCAATATTTTAACATTTGGGGCATTAACCGGAATCATCTGTGTTAGAGAAGTATATAAACTATTGATAAGCCTTCACTTAACAGCGTAACCTTTTAGGTAGAATTGGTTCTTTACGATCTGTTCACTTTTGTTGACATAAGATAATATTAACATGCAGGTACAATTTAACAAAGAAAGATGCTCTTCAATCATTATGCTCTTATTTTTATATATACTATTATCTCTTCTCATAAAAAATAGAGACAACCAAAGATTTCAGGATTAACTTGTTGAAAATGGTGTTATTGCATTTATTTGTTGAATTAAGCTTTCATAGTAGAATTACATCAATTCTGTGTACCTCATATTTCTCGGTACTCACCATTAACATGACAATTAATACTAAGGTGGGAGATTTTGGACTTGCAAAGCTGGTAGACCGAACCAATGATGAAAATTCTATAGCAACAAGGCTTGTTGGAACTCCAGGCTACCTTCCACCAGAGTAGGTTTTAAGCTTTTCAATCATAACTAGACTCTTGATCCATTCAATGGAGAAACATGTTTCTTGCAATCAATATTCTCCATAAACTCAAGGAAAGTAAATTTCCTTCCCATTTGATATTTCTTTTGATACATATAAATATTTTTTCCTTTAAGATCTGTGAAAGAGCTTCAGGTTACCCCAAAAACCGATGTTTTTGCATTTGGAGTGGTTCTGTCAGAGCTATTAACAGGGAAACGTGCACTATTTCGGGACAGCAAAGAAGCCACCAAAATGAAATCACTTATTACTGTCGTAAGTGTTGAGAAAATGTAAATAAATAAAGGGAAATACTACTCTCATTTTACATTAGATAGTTATCTCAATTTCTCTCACTTCGAAAATCGCACCCTCTCTTTTTTTCTTTTTCTTTTTTGCTTTTTAATGATGAGCCTCACTTGAATTCTCTCTATAACATGAGAGAACTACTCCCATTTAACACGAGACTAATATTCCCCATTTATTGCGGGGTGCTAATGGGACAATTTTGGATTCAAGTTTGAAAACATTTAATTGATGAGTTTAAAGTTTGTAAAGTTACTTTAAATAACTTTAGGGTTATATTGCTCTCATGTTGTATGAGATAATATAACTTCTTACACACCCATCAATTTCTGTGCTTCTCTCTTTTCTTTTTTTCTTTTTTAATAAATAATGGAACCCGCTACATGATTGTATCTACAATATGAGTTAATATATCTCCTATTACATGAGAGTAATATAACCCATAATTTTATCATCTAATGTTCACCAAAATACATAAAAAAAAAGTGTGTGGGGTTTATGTGAACTCAATTGAAGAGAAGAGAGAAAAAAGAAAATATAGACCCCACACATTTTTTTATGAGTATTTTGATAAACATTAAATAAAATTATCTAAATTAACTTTAGAAACTTTCAACCCTTAATATCCAAATTTCTTAGCTGAAAGCGTAGATTGAACTCTTATATACATGTGTTTCACTATTTTATAAGAGAGAAGAATGAGCTTTCTTTTCATCACATTCAGGTTAATAAAATATTCCAAAATGATGACCCGGAGACAGCTTTAGAAGATGCCATAGATAAGAATCTTGAAGCGAGCTATCCCATGGAAGATGTCTACAAGGTTATATTCCACCTAGATACATCTATGATAATATCTTAATGATTCATATATGCTCCCCTTTAATTTAATTTCTTTGTACAGAATTGTTATGTCCTAGAAGACTGTATTGCTATACCGAATGGTATGCGCTCAGAGATACCTTAGAGATAGGTACCGTAGTTGGTTTATAGCCAGTATCCTAATCACTGCGCACAAACAATAAGCTTATAGCCAAAACGTGTGTGTGTGCACAGTGTTGGCAGTAATAGTAGATAGGTCAACAAGTATGTACCTGAGGTCTTTACCCTCTTATTTATAAGAATTACCTCTAGGGTTGGTGTAGATCTCACAGTTGTAGTAGGATTCAGCTTCCTTTCTGTTGAGATAGGGATCCTATCTTAAGTAACTTTGTTATTTGATATTGTTAGGATAATTGAGTATTTATCCTTTAGTGGATTCTTAGGTAGGTAGTTAGGATATGATATATATCCATAACAGTTGCCCCCCAGCCCGGTGTTCCGAAGCTCGGAATGCCGGGGTGTTGCGCTGAACTCGGTCTTGTCGAGGTCTTCAGTTTCTGGGTCATGCTTCATAATGTTAGGTGGAATGTAAATCCGAGGTTCGAAACGTCGGTTGAGTCACAAGTCCGACGTGAAAAGTTTTCTCCTTTAGTTCTTTTCGTCGAGGTTTAGGTCGGTCACGTTTGGCCGTGGTGTCAATCTTTGTCATAACACCATGGATAAGATCAAATCAGATTTCAATCACACCAATGTGACCTTCTGCATTTCGCCTGCAGGGACAGTTATGACGTTCCACGTGTCCTATGCTCGTTTGAGATTCGTGCATCAGTGGTCGTGCGCCGTTATGAGCCTGTGCGGGTCATGATTATCGTGGGTGGTGTTTTTACCCTTTGTCCTTGGCCACTCAAACGTTTGAGGCCCTTTAATATTCGCGCCCAAGGCTGAAATTGCCTCTAAATTTTCCTTCTCGTGTCTATTTGCAACTCTTTATTTTCGTTCTTTTCATTTTCATTTGTAGGTTTTCCTTTCAAGTGAGCTTTCCAGTTCCTTCGGAACCATTCTTCGCGAAGGCCCTCCAAGGGTTGAGTCTAGCTTTCCTCATCCTCTTTCTCAATATTCAGGTATTTTCTCATCCTTTCATTTCTTTTCACACTTTGATTCTGTCATCGTTCGCATTTCTTTCATTTTGGGAGATTGGGATTTGCGGTTGTTTCTCACTAAGGTGAGGGAATAACTCGTACTCCTTCTGAGTTTTTATTTGAGTGCTTCGAGAGAGGGTTTCTCTCTTCTGTGATTTTGGGTCCAGATATGAGTATCTCTGGTTCACCTTCGGGCTCAGCTGCTGGCCGAGGTGATGGACATGGTGTTGATGAAGAGGAGGTGAAACAGTTGCCTCGGTCAGTCCAATTTTGGTTTTACGGTAAAGAGTATACTGAGGAAGAGAAACTCCAACAACTTCTCCGAGGTCCACGAGGAGGTCGCCGGAGCTCCCGAGGTGGACGCAGTAGGAGAGGGCAAGGTAGGAGAGGGAGAGGGGAGCGTCAGCGCCGGTTTAACTTTGGTAATGCCGCTGGCAGGGGTGGACCCTCTTTGATCTCAAACCCTGTTGCTTCTCTTGAGCCGAGTTCCCCTGATAACCCAGTTCCTTTGTCTTATATTTTGCCCTTTTCTCAAGTTCCTCCTGGTTCGAGATCCGTTTTAGATCGGATCCCTCCCCTTGGTCTCAGCGATAGCGCTTCTATCTCTTCTTCGTTTGAGTTGGGTTTTTCGAGGTCCCAGACCCCTTTTACCCCATTTTATGATTCGACTTCAAGTCAAGCGGCCTTTATCGACCTTGACGGAATTTTCGGTAGTTTCATCCCTTTTTCCTGGAGTCCAAATTCGTCGTTATACGACCTTGATGATCCGGGGTTGGATTTAGCTGATTTTTATACTGACCCTCATCCTTCGTGTTCCAGGTCCATGGTCATGGAAGAGTCCGACGTCCAAAACTGGGTTCTCCTCGAGATTCTCAATATGAGGTCCATCATGTCGCCTGCCGAGGTATCCCAACTTTCTATTGGGGACCCTTCAGAGGTTGATATTATTCCAGCCGGTGATAGCCCGGTGTGCGCAGATCCTAGTGTTGACGAGCTTCATTACTTCTTCTTTTACCGAGATATAATCACCAAGATTGGACTTCGATTTCCCCTCTCTGATTTTTCAGGTCTATGTTCTTCATAGGCTTCGAGTTGCACCGTCACAACTTCATCACAATTCTTGGCGTTTATCCGAGGTTTTGAGCAAGTGTGTGCATATCTCTACCTTCCCTGTACAGTTGATCTGCTTTTTTACTTGTTCACTGTATATACGGCTCGGTCTGGGGCCGAGGTTAAGGAGCAGAAAGGCTGGGATACCCTTCGAGGTGCTCCTAATCGGGGTATTTTTATTCCTTACTCCCCGTCTTTCAAAGGCTTTAAGGATGCCTATTTCAAAGTGGTAGCTCGTTCTGATTCCCTCCCCTGGTTTACCTCGGCATGGCTGGACGGGGGGATTTGGCGTGTCGGTTCGAGCTTTACTGGACGCAAAATCATTATCAAAGGCGTAGCTCTTTCTGACTCGGAAAGATTTGCAGCTTCCGTCCTGGTTGGATATGCCAAAGAATTCGGCATTATCGACCTTAGTCGAATTGTAGATAAATTCAGAGATGGTCTCCTTTGCAAGCTCGGTATGTAGTTTCCCTTACATTCTCTTCGTCTTTTTTATAATTTGCATTCTGATTTTTGACTCTATTTGCAGTTAGCATGACGAGCTCAACATACAAGAAGTTATTGTCGAAACCCAAGAAGTCTTCTTCGAAGGGAAAGGCTGTTGATGATGTCGTCACCGAAGCCGAGGTGTCGAAGAAAAGATGGCTTGACATCGTGTCTGGGGGTAGCTCTTTTGTCATGGACGATACTACGCCCGCCTCTGAGGTTTTCGCTTCTCATCTCACCCCTCCTGTGTCACCGTCCCTTCCACCTGCTTCTCAAGGGGACGTCGTTGCTTTGGAACCTGGTGAGTTATGGAGAGTCGGAGTTTCGGATCGACTCAGAGCTGCTTTGAAGCCCCTTCATCAACTCATGGGTGGTTGTCGATGCTAGCTCGGCTGGAGGAAGATGCTTTGAAAACAGCTTTCCTGATCCAGTCCTTTCAAGATCTCCATCGACGTCTCGACGTGTCTACTGCCTCCAATTCCTCTCTTACAAATAAGGTGGAGGAACTTTTGGGGAAGCATGAAAAGCTCCATAAATTAAATTCTGAGCTGGAGACGAAGGTTCACGATTTGACCTCCGAGATGGAGGAGATGAAGAGATCTTTGGAGTCAGCTAATGCTAAGGTGGATGACTTAAATGTTCAAAAAGAGGCCTACTCAAAGTCCCTGGCTGATCAGAATGCTCAATTCCAAAAACTGCAAGCCGACTATGAGGAAGCCCGGACCATCATCATAACTGCCGAGGTCGAGTCCTTTGATAACGCCATTGCTCAAGCTCGGGTGTTGAACCCTGGCATTATCACGGATTGGATGGACGTGGCATATGGCGTGAAGGATGACACCTTCGTTCCTGGAACTCCTGATCCCGAGACTCCTGAAGAGGGAGAGGCCGAGATTGATGGAGTCGTTCCTGCTACTAATAAAGAGTGAAGAGGGGGACTCATTATGATGTATTTTTGTTTTGGGGACTTTGATCCCCTTTTTAACTTTGTATGAACATCTTTGCTGCCATATGTCGGCTTTTTGACTTGCAATTTTATTTGTCATTTATATTTCTGAGATAATTGCTTTGATTTACTTCCCATTTGTCGTATCGCGGGGTTCAATTTCGATCTCGTTTTATCGTACTTCGACTTGTAATTGCCGAGTTACAAGATTGTTTTGATCAATTCAGAATAAGTTTTGTTCGTCAACAAAAAGTATTCCTTTTGAAATCGTTAAGCTCGAAGGCTTGTATTATTTGAATAGAAGTCGATATGCATTAAACATTGAGGTCAGAGCTCATATTATTTGCATTTATTTGAAATCTATTTACATGACTGAGCTTAGAAGCTGGTCTTATTTGCTTAGAAATAAATCTACCTACTGACTGAGCTTAGAAGCTCGTCTTATTTGCGAAGAAATAAAGTCTAACTACTAAGCTTAGAAGCTTGTCTTATTTGTGTAGGACTATTCATCATCTTTTATATTTTGAAATTTCCATGAAAACTAACATTGAGGGGTGGAAACTTACCGTAGAACTACCTATAACAAAAGAATGAATGATTCCTAAGCTCATATGGCTTGAAAAGCTCTTAAATCCCACAAAATCACTTGAATCCTGAAATCTTTGAGCTTGAATATCTCCCTCCATAGTGGTTCCCAACCGAAAATCACAAGAGGGTTTTATAGAGGATGAGGTTTTAAGTGTTTTTGGCTTTGGAATGGATGAATTTCGATGAGAAATGACTGAGTTAGGTTCTTGCAAATTTTCTCAAGCTTCCTTCCTTTCTCCAATGAGGGCTCGGTTGATGAGGGAGAGAGAGCTGATGAGTGGTGTGCCTAGGGAGAAAAATGTGACTTGAGTAAAATAATTAAGTGACTAACTCACTCCTTTACTTTGGTCCAGTTATTTTTCATGGTAACTCACTCTTTTACTTCACTTTCTCACTTAACTTATACTAGCCATGACTTAATAGAAAATGTGTAACTTAACTTAAAATTTAGAATTTAATAATCAATCATGAATTTGACATTAGCTAAACTCATGAGATAGTCTCTCGCTAACTCATTTATAAATTTTCGGTAATATTTAAGATACTGTATTTTATCTGAACAACAAGTTATTTTACATAATTAGATTTATTATCTAATTAATCTCATTTAATTATGCAAAGATTCCATAGTTGCTTATTACACAAGTTCAGGTTATTATAGAATATATGCTTAAAATTTTGGTATAACTACATCATATGACATTCTAACCTGAGAGAATCTACTTGCATATAGTAATTGAGAATATCATTGGAGAAAATCACCTTATAATTTTCCACATATTTGTTTCCGAGCATCAAGCGAGTCTCGAGCAATTGTAAAGTTATTCCTTTGTGACTTAAAGGTCACTGGTTTAAATTCGGGAAATATCCTATTTGTAAATATATAAGAATAAGGTTGCATACAAGGATTGCGCTCACTCTACCCTCTCTAGTCGGGGTTTAATGGGGAGTGGTTTTGTTTCTGAGCATCCATTACATGCATACAACAAGCCAAGTAGCAAACATAATTTTAATTTCCTTAAATTAATATTTATATCCATGAATATATTCTTGCCTTTATTTCTTCATTATTATTATGTGTATATATACGTTATGCTTCCCTCATTAATATTGCAGATGGCAGAAATAGCTGAGTGGTGCATGCAAGAAGATCCAACGGAAAGGCCTGAAATGAGGGATATTGTTAGGGAATTGTCACATATTGTTAGGTCCTCAGTAGAGTGGGAAGCATCACTAGGTGGAAACAGCCAGGTTTTTATTGGGTTGTATAATGGAAGATGAAAACTCTTATCTGTAATTGATACTTGAAATCGTTAAGTAAACCACTCCATGTACATTTATTAATCTCGTAACCATTTGATGAGTCCTAAGTTTTTCACTCAATGAATTTTGTTATGGACCTGAATAAAGGCCCACATTCTAGAAGGCCCAAGAAGGGCTAATAGTTCAGATGGAAATTAATGAAATATTCTTTAAATATATCAATCATAGTGCTATAGCAATGAATTAAGAACTGGGCCTCCAATATCCCTAAGAGGCCCAGAAGTCTACTATTTCTAGATAACCCATCTATAAATTAATGGTTAAGTCAACCATGTACATACATTCTAAACCCTCTCATCATATGATGTCACTGAGAAGAATGTTGGGGAAGGACTATTCTACATTATTATCTATAGTGAGATGCATTATAACGAGTATTTTAATATTTTCTTCTTCCCCTTGGAATGCATGTGGGAGTCCAATATATTAGTCTTAAACTAGAGGATTCTTCCCGCCTATTATACATTGTAGCTGTGAAGCAGGATATGTGTGGCCAGAGCAATTTTTAGGGAGTATGATAAATTGTGTACCTTCATACCAATAGTGCCGCCTTGTCCGATGGCGGATACGACTGAACCACGGAGCTGAGGGCCAGTAACAACGCTGCTAGTGTAAACCAAATGCCACCCATTGTCGTCGTGAAATAAGAGGAACATCAGAACATGGAGCGACATGGAGCGAGAATAAGTTTGGGGCACTTGCATGTGTCGATAAAAGCAAATGACAGATAAAGAGATTGAGAGTTGAAGGGATGCACATGGTGCCAAAAGGAACAAAACTTTCTAAATTATGAGTCTAGCGAGGTGACACACGAATCATCCCTCAATGGAACAGTTATCGTCATCAAGATAAATAGCGCAACGATCTTTATTGGGATAACTAGATGTTGGAATAGGCTTGTGGGACCCAGTAGGCATCAAAGAGTACCCATCGAACACACCATATTGAAGGCGCTGAAAACCCTAGATTTTTATGTGGGGTTGGATCGGGTTTGTCCATTATAAATAATATAGGCTAAATCGGATTGGCTCGAGATTTTTCGCATGTTTCAATTTTTAACCCGTATTTGGGCATTCTCGGTCAGATCATTTCGAGTTGAATTTAGAACGCCACATCAAGAAAGCTGCAACAACTAGACCTTTTTGGATTTCTTAAATTTTGATGGTTGTGGGGTATATAAGCTTAGCCATGGCCTTTCCCAGTTCCATTTACATTGATCGCCGACAAAGATTGATTTCAACTTACCAATTGATGCATCTATGTTTCACCTCAACCCAACCCTATTTCCTACAAAGGGCTATCAAATGGCAAATAAATCACAAACAGAGGAAATAAATATAGAGCTACTCTTTATTGTTTGACTATAAAAGGCATCGACGAAGGTTTACATAAGATGCTAATCAGATTTCATCAACTGAAATAGTCTCGAAGCGTGGAATATGTTCAACAAAATGCACACAAGCAACTGGCAAATAATCGACCGGCATGCTCTTGGGTCACATAAAGGAGCATGAAATCAGCTTAATGAATCTTTGTGAATCAACCACATTCGAAACTTTTGGCTAGCACCAAGGGTACACAAGATAGGCCTCAGGTAAAACGTCTTTTTATTTCAATTTACACCTAACGACATGTCTTCTGTTATTCTTTTTTAACAGGTCTAATGCAACACATGTATTGCATCACGCCTACTACAAACATGCTCGCAAGCACTATTCCACGACCAGATTAGTCATCAAGGTCCAAAGAGGCAAGAGGGATACTTGCAGTCATAATTTTGAAAAAGGTAGCACAACCCTTGAGAGAAATCACACAGTGGCTCAAAGCAATTTGACAGGAACATCCTCAACCTAAGGAAAACAACCCTGATATGCTCGAGCGCCAGAAAGGAAAGAGGGAAAATGTCTTTACCTACTGTTAGTTAAACAACCTAGCCACTGCATAAAGCGCCCAAAGCAACAAAAGAGCCATCACCCTCGCCAATGAAGCAAAATTTGCCTTAAAGCCGAGCTCCAAAGCAACCCGGTCAAAGCCTCAGGCTCCAAATCTAGAAACTCGGACATCGATCTGAGCCCTAAATTAGCCCAACCTCAGCTTCGGGTCCCAATTAAAGATGAAGACGGGTTTAGAGAGATTGTGATCCTAACGAAAGGATTACACCCCAATTCGAGATGATGATGAAGATGGATTTGGAGAGATCTTGATCCTAATGAAAAGATTGCACCCCAATCCAAGATGAAGATGAAGATGAAGGAGGATTTGGAGAGATCGTGATCCTGATAAAAGGATTGCGCCCCAATATGAGATAAAGACGAAGAAGTGTTTGAAGAGACTGCAATCCTAATAAAAGGATTTCACCCCAAACCGATTTGAATATGGATTTGGAGAGATTGCAATCCTAACAAAAAGTTTCACCCCAATCCAAGAGAAGCCAAGTCGGAACAAAAGTCACTGCAAAAAAAGTGGGGCTCAAATTAAAAAGTCACAGTAAACGAAGTCGGGCTTAGATAAAAAGTCATCGCTAAAGAAGTGGGACTCAAATTAAAAAGCCACAACGAATGAAGCTAGGCTCATATAGAAAAGCCACTGCGAAAGAAGCGGGGTTCAAATTAAAAAGCCACTACGAAAGATGCAGGATTCATATTAAAAAAGTCATTGCGAAAGAAGTGAGGCTTAACTAAGCTGGAAATAAAAAAAATAAGCTACTCGAAAGAAGCAAGGATCAAATAAAAAAGCCATTGCGAAAGAAACGAGGCTTAGATAAAAATACTCGTGGCAAACGCCATCGGGCTCAAAGCCAAGAGGCGAATACCATCTTTGCAAGCTTAAGATTATAACAAAACAAGTCAAGTCAAATATAAGAGCGACTACAAACAAAGAAAATCTCTTCCGTTAAGAAGCCAAGTCAAGATAAAAATTCACGACAAGAGACACTGGGCTTGGAATTAAAGAAGCAAATACCGCCTTGCCGAACTCAGGACTTAAAGCAAAGGAAGCCATCTCCAAATCAAAGTCATGGCAATAGAAGCTGACTTAATTCTAGAGAGTAAGAATTTGACTCCTCAAGCTTAAACAAAACATGCATTCACAAAAGGGAATTCAAACTTCCACAATAAAAAGAAAGGACCGGAAACAAATCTAACAATATCTACTACAAATTTAAAAGGGGCCCAAAGGCCCCAAAATTAGGAAAATTAATGTACGAAATAAGTTGGCATTCTGACACATAATTACTCGTCCATAATCCTAAACACAGAACAAATTTAGAACACGGATTAAGGGAAAAGGTTAGAAGGCTAGTACCTCAGTCAGCCCAAACAGAGCTACGCAAAAGCACAAACAAGGCGGTCTATAGAAGGACCAGCTACTCCAGATCGCCAAGAAGCATGAGACTAAATCCCAACCACGAACTCAGATATCGCCACACCAATAAGAAGTCATCCACCAAGTAAGAGCACACTGGCCCACCCAAGAACCCCGGCCAAGTGTCGGCACGACAAGAATGAGTCTTCAAAGAAAAAGGATTTGGGCACAACCGGAGCACAAAAACACTACAACCCGATAGCCCAGACTTTCAGACTGCTAGACTAGGGCAGAAGTGTAGGAACGCAACCATCAAAATAGAACGAGGAAAATCGACAACCTTCATAAGTTGAGATCTCGGCAAGGTGGTCAAAAAGCATCATCAGCCAGTCTAAGCTAGTATCTCAGGCTGAAAGGTTAAGGGAGGAGATGTCAGAATATAACCTGGCGAACCGACAAAGACAATTGACAACTGATACAAGCTCGAATCATGCAATACAAGGAAATGGTCATTTCGCTCAAGGAAAAAATCGAATCACAAGGTATGAACTCAAATATGGCCGAAGTACTAGACAAATGGATCGCCCCAACCACCTGGGCTAGATGGATCTTCACAAATTGTCCAATCAAGATAGCAGTCCACTTGAGGAAGCATGATCCCAGCATCACAGACACGGAACACACTACAACTAAAGTCATAAAAAGGACAAAATGTTTTAGCCCAACACGACCTCGACAACCTAATTCTAGGAAGTTGGCTAAGTCATAATTGTTAGAAAGCACAAAGGACAAAGAACAAAAGAAACAGTTAAATGTAAAAGAATATGTTGTGTATTGATCTGTTTCAGAGAGTTACAATATATAGAGACCCTAATGGGCTTAAGTGAAAGGCCCAAACCTAATCCAAACCTAATCCTAATAGAATCAGAATATTTATGGATAAGACGGAATCCAATCATATCTAATCATATCATATCTAATCATATCATATCTAATATTCTAACACTCCCCCTCAAGCTGGTGCGTATATATTATGAGCACCAAGCTTGTTACAAATGTATTCAACCCGAGGACCTCTAAGAGCTTTAGTGAAAACATCTGCTAGTTGATTAGACGAGTTGACAAAAGCTGTCTTGATTTCTCCTGACTGAATCTTTTCCCGAATGAAGTGACAATCAATCTCTATATGTTTGGTCCTCTCATGAAAAACGGGATTAAAGGATATATGTAGCGCAGCTTGATTATCACAGATGAGTGTCATGGGTTATTTCTGTTCACAAAGATGAAGCTCCTGAATCAACTGCTTTAACCAGATCAACTCACAGTCACAGGTAGTATTTGTCATTGCACGATACTCAGCTTCTGCACTAGATCGGGAAACAACAGGTTATTTCTTGCTTTTCCATGAGATTAAGTTTCCTCCGAAGAAGACACAATAACCAGAAGTAGAGCGTCTGTCCGAGGGTGATCCTGCCCAATCGGCATCTGAGTAACCACAAATTTCTGTATTTCCCTGATCCGAATACAACAAACCTTTTCCTGGTGCTCCTTTGATGTATCGGAGGAGCCTCACAGCAGCATCCCAATGTGAATCACAAGGGGAATCAAGGAACTGACTAGCCGTACTGACAGCGAAAGAAATATCTGGCCTAGTC